AAACAGCAAAAAAACCAAACCAAACATTGTTCTGGTTACATAACACACATTGGTGCGGGTGTATTAGGTAGTTTCCAGTTTTCATCTCAATGACAGCATCATGCCTGATAAAGTGATTCAACTCGAAACTGAGCTAGCAGGCATTATGATGAGCATTATTTATATGTTTGAAAGTTATTTTAATTTTCTGGTTTACACGTCATCTTCGGCTCCATATTTAAATCTTATTGCATATTTTCTGTAATACCCTTGATTCTGCTGAAAACCACAGCAATGCAGGAAACGTTCTTCTTTGTGCCACTTAACCAGCATTTAGGATAAAGGTGGATCTGTGGGGAATTTTGTCAGCAACCTATTCATGCTGGGAAAACAAGGCTTTAATTATGGCTTTAAATAACTGAAACTAAGTATACTAGTTTACTAAGCATACTATCTCATGGAATTAAACTGAAATGAAGGAATGCATACATAAAGTATATGCAGGTTCAACCATATTTCACATTTATGAATAAATGAAAAGTTTCAGACTTGTTATGGTCCTCGTGACTTAAACTAAAAGCAGTATAGGCAAAAAAAAATCACATGTGACAGCAAAATATCTCACCAACAAAAGCCAATAATGATTACATATGCCAAATCTGACCTCATGTTATAACCAGAGAAGGACATGAAACACTGTATGGGAAATTACGTTACACGCAAAGAAAACAAAGCTCCAGCAGGCTGCTGTCTTTTTCCATCATTTCTGCTGCCTAACAGGTATAGAGGTCTGTTCGGCGGCCCACACACTGAAGCATTGTACAGATATTTGACTTGTTGTCACACATTCAGTCTTCAGGCACACAAAACAAAACTTCACCTTACATTAAGGAAAAACAGAGAGATTTGCAATGTGTCTGGCTGTGTTCCAACACTAAGCCACAGGTGAGTAAGGCATGGATGGAGGGACATGGACTCCCTTCACAGACTCAAAGACAGTACTTTTAGAGACTGACTGCAGCAAAGAGGTCTTAAAGAGGTCTTTCTGAGGTCGTGGATGCTTCCCTCAGACAATTCCAGCAGAATTCTGTATCATTTCTTAACGTATCATCTAATGAAACTGAATATTTATTTGCATGTTTCAGAACTGCATTGCAAGCATGTTAGTACGATGCCTCATACATAGAAGTCCGGGGTTTTAATAGAGAAATATTTGGGTGAAATTCATCTGGTCGTTGAAGGAAAGCCCCTGGACGACGACTCTGCATCGCTGTCAGACTGTAAAATCAAGCCCAACTCTGTTGTGCAGATGGTGACCAAGGTTCACGGAGGCTGACTGAGCTCCATCGTCGAGCTCCAACCGTTTAATACAGGACAAGAACAAAAATGCTTTTGTACGCTGTTAAACCTGTGCAGTTACTTCAAGCTGTTTCTCAGGGTGTAAACAATTCATTAGCTACTTTTTTCTTTTTTCTCTTTTTTTGTTGTTGATAAATTATGTGAGACACCAATTACAAATCGAAGAGTACAAACACCGGGGAAATTAAATGCTCTATCTCATTGGCATCTGTGCTCAGAGCCAATGAGACGATTATAAATAATAAATCAGTCATGTTAGCAATATCATTAGCATTACAGGACACAAAGAAATGAGAAAATGTAAAGGCACACGGAACAACCTCAAGAAAGTAAATAATGTACTGATTTTTATTATTTGTGCTTTGAATACCACTGTACTTGTCATGGACTGGATTGCACTTTTAGATTACTTATTTGCAAAAAGTTACGCAAGAAGTCAAATTCTGATTTGCTTTGTTTTAACTTGAATAAACTTTCTCGGAGGAGTCAGACTGTCATGTATATCATGTAAAATGATACATAAAAGTTTGATACTCATGAACAAAAACTGGTTTTACCACCTGCAGCACAAAATGATAAAGTTTTTGTCCTCAACAAAAATATAGGCAAGTTGCTGTACTAGTTGTTAATGTGGTGCTTCTAAGTAAAATTCACTACACTGGGACCACATTTTTAGTAATATATTATCAAGGTAAACATTTGACATGACACTTGGCTCTATGCAATGACATGGCAGAAAGAAAAAAAACTTCACTGGCTTTTATTTAAAATGTTTTTGCAAACAACATTTTTACAATTTATTTAAATGAGCTGCATGTTTTACATCTTAACGTTTGGTTAAACCTAACAAAAAGAAAGAATGTGTGTTTAACTTCACATTTAAAATTTATTTTTGAGATTTTACAAATGGTAAATGGACTGATTCTTATATAGCGCTTTTGAACTCTCCCGGAGTACTCAAAGCGCTATATACAACATGCCTCATTCACCCATTCACACCCACTCATACAAGCACTTCTAATCACTTCTAAACTCAAGTGCAACCAATAAACATTCACACTCCGATGAACGCATCAGAGGGCAATTTGGGGTTAGTATCTTGCCCAAGGATCTTTGGCATGCAGACTGGGGGAACCAGGAATCAAACCACCAACCTTCCGATCAGTAGCTGATCTGCTCTACGACATGAGCCAACACCAAAACAAAGTGAAGTTTGATGGCCTTGTGTTGTTACTATTATTTCTTCTGCCATACAGGTATAGATGTCTGCCTGGGGGCCACTCCACTGGACCAAGGTGCAGAAATGCCACTTGTTTTTATGCATTCAGTGAAGATCTTCAGGCACACAAAACAAAACTTCACCTTACATCGAGGACAAACAAGAGATTTACAGTGCCTTTTGCTGTGCTCCACCAGTAACCCACAGGTGGGACAGGCACGGACAGAGGGACACCCGTTGACACCCTTCACTGAATCAAAGATGATATCTGGGCATTCTTTTAGCGTTTTCAGTGACTGGTTGCAGCAGCCATGATTTCCACAGCGGTCTTTCCGAGGCCGTGCACCCTTCCACTCCCTCAAACACTGCCAACAGAATTCAAAGGTCTGTCCTTTTACTGATGTGCACACTTTACAGAGGACATTCAAATATGATTCGTTCTCTCTCGTCACAGAGGATCCGCATCCAGGACACTACATGGAGACAAGAGAATGACATTTAACACTAATAACAAATTTCCATTTACAGCAAATATAATATGTTAATGAGAAACTTACAAATCTGATGATAAGCATCTGCCTGGCAGCGTTGAATTCCAGGGTTTTTCTGAAGTACTCAGTTTCTTCAGGGGTCAAAAGACCCATTTTACAAACCTCTGCCAAAGTCCACTCAGCACCACAACCAGACCCACCACACACAAACCTGCTTTCACCCTTTATTGGAATAATGAGACGTAAAAGGATTATTAGACTCGCATGTTGGAAACAAAACACAAAACAATTTGATGAACTGGATTTTTGTTGTTTCAGTTAAACGTACATTATTAAAACATTATTAAAACAATAAATACCATATTGTAAGACTTGCTCTGTAATTCATTAACTTATTAGCTAATAAAAGAAATTATATAATAAGCAATTTTTTTTTCATGTAGCTAATAACTGCATTGTTAGATATGCAATGGTTTGATAAAACACTGAAAAGGTCACAGCTGGACAAGCACAGGCATAATTCAACGCTGCACTGAAGCCTAAAGGCTATGATAAAATTTACAGGTTTCAGGTTAAGATTTTTGATACAGGCTTTTACAGCGTTCATTTGGTGCTCGTTTAGTTTTTATACTTTTTTTTCCAAAACCTTGTGACATGCAAAAGAATAAAATGATTTTTTAAAGGATAAAAAGTGGCTGTAAGGTTGTTTAGAAGAGCACCGTTTAAACCCAGGGAGAGTCTATCAGTCTCTTAGATGTGTGATTTCTTGAAGTGCCTCACAGGTTGTAGTTCAACTCGAGGTGATTATAGGCCCTAAAATGTTGTGTACACACTGTTGAGTGATGTGTCTGGAGACCAAAGAGCGCTTGCAGTGTATTATGTTTAAAATAAGATGTGATAATAGATCAGGTATTATTTTCATCACTTACACACGTGTGTACTCGTATGTTGTGGTAGGATTAAAAATATTACCATGGTTAATTTTATATCTAATTTATCCCAAAATCAGAAACCTGGCACCACGCCCGATGCCTTCTGCTTTTATTTATTTAGGTACACTGTTATTTATGCTGACTTTACTTTATCTATTTTAACAAAGTCAACCTTTAGTGGCCTACCTGGTCCAACAACCTGCGACACCAGTTGGTGAGAGAGGTCGGGGTCACAGCGTGACCACAGGACATCTGAGCTCTGGGAGATTTGAAGCCTTCATACAAAACTGAGAACAATCAAACACAAATTCAAGAATAAATGTTTTGTGACATTGGTTTATGTCAGTTGGTTGAAATGATTTTCACCGTTATTATTGTAATTATTCTCATTATTGCTGCACCCAAGTAATACTTACAGTCCAAATCATCCTCTCTATCCACAAATGTAAATGTCAGGTCGAGAGGGTTGTAACACTTCTCCTGTTTTGTTATAGTATTTGAGGCCACCAGTCTGCGAAACAGTAACAGAGCACAGTGTCACTTCAAAGACACCCCCCCGAGTTTCAGTTGTGTGTGCGTGTATTTCGATTTCGGGAAAAGAACACTTCAAATAAGTTACAGTCGGGGCTGGAATGGGACAAAAAACGACAAAAAAAAAGGCATTGAGTTATTGACACAGGTTTTAATCAGATTGGTGTTGCTGGGTTATTTCTCAGTTACACTGAAATGCAGCATATTATGATTTAAAGCCACACTTCGGCTTTTAGTGAGATCCTTGAATCTTCCTAATGACATCTCTCCAGCTCTTTAATTCCTCCCTTTTTAGCAGCACCCCTGCAGATAATATCTCTGTTCTTTTGACATATTTTGTACATCTATTTTTAGTTCGTTTTTATTTTTCGGTTTCAGTTTCTCAGCTCCATCTTTTCAGAACTTTTTTCCACACTAAACTCAAGCGCCGGAGCGCGCAGGGAAGGTAGGGGAGGTCCCGGTTGCGTAAAGAGAATTTATTGGACGACACAGTGTCGGTAATGAAAATAAACGAATGGGCTGCTCACACTTCGGGGGCCCTTGAACTGATCCATCGCCCTGCCTGTGAAATTCCCGGTGTGCCAAATTACCACTCCAGCCCTGGTAACAGTAAGTTCTGAACTTTCAGTACTATGTTTTTAATGACAGGCTTTATGTTTTAGAATCACTGTGATGTCAGACCGTCAGACTCTAAACGATCGAAGTAAAGAGCCAACTCTCCGGTCCGCAGTTTCTAACCATAACAAAAAGTCGTTACCAGTGAAATCAGACTATTGAACATGTAACCAAAAGTAACACGCGCATGAGTGAGTGAATACGCTGAGTGTTACCTGTGCGGGAGACCGGCCAGGTAGGTGAATAAGGCCATCGTCGATCCTGCTGCGGGACACGCACGGTGCAGTCAAAAGACGTGTGGCGCCGCGATGAGCCTAGTAACAGCTGACTCTGAGTGACGTCAACACAAACGTGTGGCCGGATTTGTTTATTATATACAGTTTAATGTGCAAGCTATTACTAAAACATTAAAAGGGGAACAGACAGCAGGCCTATGAATAAACAACAATGACGACAAACTATCAAACCAACAAAGTGAACCTAACATCACGTTAAAATTAATCATAAAGAAAGAAAGTGATTTCTTTTAACGATACTAATGATAGTGAAACTAAATTAGATATAGAACTTACCTAACATTGGATTCCTAAAGGATCTTTTCGTATGTTTGTCTGATAAAGCGTTTGTTATGAGGTGAACAACTATTTAGAGACAGCCCATCTCAGTGACTAATACGCTCTCAACTCACCTGACTTTAACAGAAACCAAAGGAGCTCCTCAGACTCACACACGATCCAGACAAACACAATGTGCAAGTACAGCTTGTCCGTCCGCTCACCTGCAGGTGAGTTGAGGATTATCAAATTAAACCACTCCAAAAAGCAGCAGAAGACCGTGAAAGACTTGAAGATCAAAGCAGCGCAACTGTTTCCAAGGAAAGGTAAGCCCAAAAACTCAAAACAGATCGGAGAAGAAATAGTTGACGAGTAGTGAAGCTATGTGTCGAGCGATTGTGTTGCCATCTAATGAAAATCAAGTGACACAAATGACACAAATTCATTCAAATGTCCTCATTTATTTCATGAATCTTATATCTTTTTAAAACTGTATCAAGCGTTTATTGTCAAAACTCTTTCGGTTCAGTTTGGTTTTCATTATGTTCCGTGTCAGTTTCAGTTTGTTTTATTGTTATGTAAGGTCTTTGTGTCGTGCAAAAATCACGAAGCACAATAATACGACACAACTTCAAACACACATTCAACTGGATATCTCAGTGTTTTCATCGCACAAACTGTGAGAGCACACTTTGGTTTATGAAGCGGGTGAAATAAATGTTTTTCACACTTAGTTTAGTTTTAGTTGAGCAGTGGCCAAAGTCATGTGCTGTCTGAGTGCAACTTAAAAATAACAATCATCAGTGGTGTTCAGAGACATGATATAATTATTTGTGACATGTTTAAATATTTAGTGAGGTTCTCTCTCTCTCCTGTGTTGTGTGTGTAGGATATCTTATGGCTGAATTCCGGCTGATTGTCTCAGGAAAGCCGCTGGACGATGACTCTGCATCTCTGTCGGAGTATGGGATCAAACCCTCGTCTGTGGTGCAGATGGTGGCGAAGGTCCACGGAGGCTGACAGATATCATCATCGATGAACTCAACTCCATCCAAAAGACTCACCTCAGGACTGGAATGTGATACACCAAAGGACGCAATGCATCATCTTTGCTAGCTGGGACTGAACTGTGTCATCTTTGATCTTTGGTTCTCTTCTACACTTTTGTGTCTTCCTTTAGATTTTAAGACTTTTATCATACCTATATAGACTTCAGCACTAATTTATTATCACAAGTTGTAAATGATGCACAAATAGGGCATAATAACATTTCTTATTTTATTCCTCTTTTTTGTTTCGTTGCTAGCCTGTGTAACTTACTATTAGTTGAAATACCAAAAGTTGACAACAAAAGTACGGTTATGCAGCAGCCCCATGAATATCAATGTTCCTAAAAAAAAAGTGATACTGAGATCATTGGTTAATATTTAGTTATCTTGACTTTTCAGCTGATTCCTAAAAATGCTCTGCTTTCATCTTGTTTAAAAATAAATGCAATGATTATTGAATTTAACCCCTTGTGCTCATTTGTAGCTCTGTATTTTTATTCTTGGACTCTTGTGGAGTAGCCTTGCTTTACATATCCAAACAGACCTTGTGTGAAAAAGTAATTCCCCATAAACCCGAAAACCGGATTGCATCAAAAACTGCAATCAAGTGTTTATGATAACTGACAATGAGTCTTTTACATCACTGTGGAGGAATTTTGGCCACACTGCAGGGTTTACAAGCATTAGAATTCTGTTTAAGGTCATGCATCTTAAAGCAACTCAATCTGATTTAAGTCCAGGCTTTGACTCGGACACTCCAAAACATTAATTTGGGTTTTTTTAATCCACTCAGAGGTGGACCTGCTGCTGTCAGCTGATTGTCCTGATGCATAACACAAGTGAGCTTCATGGAATAAACTGATGGTTGGACATTCTTATTCAGGATTTTCTCGTACAGCGCAGAATTCATGGATTCATCAGTTACAGCAAGGTCATCTTGAAGCAGCAAAGCAGTCCAGACCATTACACTGCTACCACCACGTATATGTTGGTATGATGTTCTTTTTATGAAATGCTGTGTTACCATTTTCCAGGCAGAAAAATAACAAATGTATTCTATGGTAACATTTAAATAAACCTTTTGTTGTGTATTAGGCTTTTGGTTACCTGCCAAAATCCTATCTCAATAGTTCACTTACTATGCAGGCTGCATGATTTTAAAAAGTATTCGTCTCTAACTGGCAGCACCTGTGAGTGCTCTAATTAACGCGCCTCGTGTACAGAGTAAACAGTGCCATCTGTTGGCTGAAGGTGAAAATACAAATGCACCCTTTTTCTACTTT